AAAAAAAGATAATTTCTGATGAACTATGCAAAGATAAGAATAAATTAAATATAAAAAACACAGTCGATATAGAAATCCTCTTACCGAGAGTAGATCCAATCCATTATCATCCAGATTAGGAACAGTAGATGACAAACTCTTGGGGCTCCACTGAGGATACTCGTGCCAATTAGGCAATTTGCTTACACCAGGCCAAATTACATCATTTGGAGTACCCAGTAACCTACATCACTAGCATAATCAGAGAAACTAACAGAGTAACCTACTTAGAAGGGACAATAAGAATAAAAGGAATTTATGGATTGAGAAGCACTTTACCTGAAAATATGAAGAAGCTGCTGCAGTTCAGAGTCGCCAGCAAAAAGTGCTTGGGTTGTAATTAGTTCAGCTAAAAGTTCGAAGCCGAGGAAAAAACAGTCAAGGAAGCAAACTTCTTTTAAAATCATGGAAATGGATGTCATATCTAACTATATGATCCAAATTCCTAGCATATCTGAGGTGAGAAATACTTACCAAAAATACAGCCGATTGACCACATATCGATCGGTGTTGAATAGTGTGTGGCCCCAAGGAGAACCTCTGGAGCTCGATACCAAAGAGTCAGGATCTGAAGCAATCAGTTGTCGTTGAGCAAAGTGAACTAGAACATAAGCCGATAATCAAGAAATTAAGCTCAAAATTTATACCTCATGAGTATATTTCTTGAGAGGAATAGTGAATGCTCTGCTAAGTCCAAGGTCTGCGATTTTTAACATCATAGTCTTTCGATCCATCAAGAGATTGTGAGGTTTCAGATCTCTACATACATGAAGAAAAGCAAGGAGTTGAAACTCTAACACATGTTCTGTCCGTATAACAATTTGACATTAGAAACAGAAGTATCAAGCAGATTTTTACCTGTGCAGCACCCCACGCCCATGACAGAACGCAATTCCTTTACATAGTTGATACATCAGAATCTGTAGGACAAAGGATTAAGAAATACCTCCTGAGAGTGTCGGCCGAACAATCATTTTAGAACAAATTTCTATACTATACTCCAAACTCCGAGTAAAGCTTCTTAACAAAATTGTTTGCGCTATAGGTTCAACTTAGTGTGATCATTTTGGAACCTCAATAACTACCCTGCAACAATCTTTACTAAGCCGAAAAGTATTCTTTATTAACCCTGGTCAGGCCATTCAACAATCTGTTTGCACACAAAACATATTTATATACCGATAGGATTAACATGTACAAGTTGGATTAGCAACACGGTCTGTAGGCATCGTTACCTTCACAGTTTCGGGTGGAATCTGTTCATGGTTCTGACGGAAGCTTCTGATGTATTTCTTGAGATCGGTGTCCATGTACTCAAAGACGAGATACAGAATGGTTTGCCCGTCTTTGTTCTTATCTTGTTTGAGATCCAACAATCTGCAATCACAGGGAAGCCTATCAGAAAAATTAAGAGATGGCGCGTCGAATGACAAGATTTCAAGGATTAGTATAACGTCAGATAGAAAGAAAAAGTAGGACGAGCAATAAAACAACGACCTAGAAACGTGCAAGGGAAATATGTGAATGATTCCTCTATTAGGGGAGCAAGATGAAGGAATGATTTGACTTCCCAAGAGGAATAACCTAGCGGGTAAAGAAACCCTAAAAGGAAGACGAGATGGAACCAAAGCCTGGCGGGTAGAGAAGAGAAAACAACCTGACGACGTGGGGGTCGACGGAGAGCATGCGGAGGAGGGAGACCTCGCGGAGGGTGGTGGGGGGAACGCCCTCGTCGTCCTCGGGCAGGCGGGTCTTCTTGAGGGCGACGATCTTGCCGGTGGCCTTCTCCCTGGCCTTGTACACCTTCCCGTACGTCCCTTCTCCAACCTTCTCCAGCTTCTCGTACGCGTCCATCGCCCGACTCTGCTGCTGCTGCCGCACCGTTGTCGCCATCCTCTCTCTCTCAGTCTGTCTCTCCGATTGTCGCTGCGTGGCTCGATCGAGCAAGGGAAGAAAGGAGGAGAAAAGATGAGACTATGAACGAAGGGTTGTGTTCTCTTTTGGGCAACAAGAGAAGGGGTTTACTTATAGATATCTCTTTTCTTTTTCTATTAATTGTTCTCTACCTTTTCTTGATGCTCGCTCGCCTGCCCGCCCCAACGGCTCGCGATATTTGAAATTCGAAATTGGCGTGTGGAGCCCTGCCCTCATTGTTGTCACGTGAGTTGCGCGTGGCTCTTTAAAAGGGCAAAAAAAAGAAGAAATTAATTTAACGCGTTTCCCCAGTATTCTAAATTTTTTAAAAGCTTTTGAAATGACTAACAAAGGCTTAAATAATATATTTTTAATATTTAAAAGTTTAAAATTATATTTTTTTTTTATATTTCACTAAATTTAAATGAATTTACAATCTCTTTGGTGAAAATCATTTGAATATTATCAGAGAATTTTAGAAAACCAGAGTTACATTTTTGTTTAAAAACAAATTATTAATTGAGGAACCGAATGATTTGATCCCTAAAATGACCAAGAAAACAAATTGTTACACTATATCTTTTTTGATAAATAAAATCAAAGAACAAATTATTAACTGATAAAAACAAGTAATAAATATATTTTTTATAATATTTATTCTTGATGGTATTTATGCGAGTATAAAATTGGGATTGAGAGGAGGAGAAAGAAGCGCTTACTTGATGGGTCTTTTTTTTTTTCCCGTATTACTCATCCAAATAAATGTCCATTTCCCTTCTTTCTCAATTTTTATCATTTTTTCCCCCTTCAAATTTTCCTTATTCATCAGCACATCCAACTCCTTTTCTTTGTTATCATCTTCCCTTAATTAATATACTGAATTAAAATAATTTACAAATATTGATGCTTATTGTATTAGTTGAGTATATTTATTTTATAATATTATATGCTAATAATGTTTTATTTTTATATAGGTTTAAAATCGAGCAAATTGCCTAGAAAAAGCACATGTTGGCATCTTTTTCTCGCACAATATTCTTATTTTCATTTTTTTTCTAGCATAAGACCTCTACTTTTCAAAATAATAAAACTACCATTAACCAATCTTTTGTCTTTTCCTCTTCTTCCTTCTTTCTCAAATTTAACCAACTCATTGAATTGAACCAAACTTGATCGATCCAAAACTTAAACCGGTCTAAAATAAATAATAGTGAATAAAATTACATAAAGGGTTGAAAATAGATGATTTGGAAAATACCTATCTTAAAGGTTTAAGAATAGAAAAAGTGACAATTTAGGCATTTGAAGTCATTCTATGTTTTTCGGAAAATTTAAAAATTTTGTGGAGAAAGAGTGGGGTGAGTTATACTATTTTTGAATAAAGGTATACTGTTTTTAAATAGGATTTCAAAATAATATAACCTTATTTTAAAAAAATATAAGTTATGTCTTCAAAAATTCTTTGACACTTGAAACTTCAGAAACCTCAAAATTCACTACTACCATCTTGCTCATGTGTCTTGCGAACCTCCAACTAAATGATTAAGAAGATGCCTTACCAGTAATCCTAGTGAGATACACCAGCAATGGATTCTGGTAGTGTCACCTCCTTTTTCAAGAACTCCCACTCCTTCTCCCTTAGCATCTGAATCCTCTCATCTAATGGTACAAAACCTGTTTGTGGACTAATTACTCTATAAGTACCTCCTTTTTATATCAGAAGTATACTGCCTCCCATGTCAGGCCCTTGAAGTTTTCCGGTGAGCAATACTCGGATTGGCATAAAGAGAGATCTTTCCTGTTGCAAGGAATCAAATTTAGAGATGATGAGCTCCCGAGATTAATGATCAAGCAGAAACAGTCGATATAGATGACCAAAACATCATCTAGTGATGAAACATAAGAGGACATGATCGTCATGTTTAATAGATTACATGTCCATAATAGCTAAAATTTCCCAAATAAATAGAGGCAATATTACAGAAGCAATGTTTCAAGAAACTCAAAGTTTGTTAGTTTGTGTAAATACTTCAAAAATATATTTGATCCATAGCTAGAAGTCTTTTGGCATTACCTTGAATCTACAGATATATTGACTGCTACTATAGTGGATGAGAAAGCACATCAAAACATTCTACCAAATAGTACAGTGGTATGTTATACCACTTGCTACCAAAGCACATCAAATTATTTCTTAGAAAAAACAAGTTTTTTGATGGGAGACCTCAAATAAATTCATAAATTGAAGCGAAAGATATTTTTCTTAAAATAAACTAAATATAGAGGATATTACACCAATGAAAAAATATCCTTTGGTTAGTATGAACTTGACAGATTGGTACCAATAAAATGTTTCAGGAAAAAACACTAAGAACAATCGCTTAAAGTTTGAAATGTCAGAAAAAAACAATTATTTAGAGTGTATTGATTCAAGTCAGGAATACAGGAAACATATGTAAAAAAACCCCCACTGAGACTCAAGTTTCCGTTGCTCTCAACTTGAACCATATCCAACTTTATTTAGAAAGGTCAATATATGCTCCAGATTCATGGGAAAAAGTGGCAACCCCATATAATCAACTCTTCCACTATATGTGTTTAGGGCTCAAAGATCAAGCAAAAAAAAAAGAAGCCCTGTGATATAGAAGACAATGACAACAATAAGAAGAAGATCCCAACTACTGGGGACCGTCTATGTTAATCTTTTCCCACCATTAAGGTGCTAGAGGGAAGCATCACTAGTTAAAATAAGAACAATGGAGTCTCTTGTATACATGTGCTAAGTAAAACCATTCAACTAAAATTCAGACATGCTTTGTCTTAACTGTGTGGCTTACGGAGTTATCTGGCTGCATAGTATGAACTTAACTACAGTTAGCAGGCACTGATCTCCAGCTCTATACCCACCAGATCCTGCTGAAATAGGCTTTCTTTTTTTTTCCCTTTTATTTGTTTGTATATTTTTTTTTTTTTGCACGGTTGATCACCAGAAGCAAGGAATAAATATATTTGGTAGATCAATAACTTACTAATATTAAACAATTCAAGTTGTCGAGAAGATAATCAACTCCATGCATCAGTTGAATCTGACCTTGCGCTTCAGGAGCTTGCCGAAGCATTTCACCCATTTTTGCCAGCCTGCATGACCTTTCCTTCGGTGCTTCACGGAGCTCTCCACAATCATAAGAAGATATCTAGCTGGCAAACACCTCTGAGAGCTTATCTTGTAGAACAGGTTTACATTCAGCACTGCAGAATTTACATGATTTCATGCTTAGACAGCATGGCATATTTCAGAATTTAGTGATCAAACCCAATTACTGAGCATAGAAATCCATGTGAGCCAATTATTACTGGAAACATCTTACACTACCGCTAATCTAAGTTCACTGTGATATAACAGATGAAGTTGCTCAAGTGAAACTTATAAATTGATGAAATATGCAGTCTTATCATAACCTCAAATATAAAATATCGAAGATGTTATACATTACCTGGCTAGAGTAGAGTGCAGAGGATAAGACAACAAATTCACTAGAGCCTTGTCTGTATGTTACCAAATCAATTCCATCCTTCAATAGTTCAGTCGCATCCTGCACATCAATATGTCCAACCAGTATCAGCTAACTCTCTGTTCAACACCTTTTCCATTGTAGGAGAAGGGGAAGCTGAGGAGATTGACATGAATAAAATTAACCAATATTCATACAGCATACATGAACAATCAGATAAACTATCTATAACCACCAAAACCATTCAACAATGTTTTGTGGTGATACTTCATGAATATAAACAAGCATTTGGCTAGTAAAGTGTTATCTTGGTGTCTAACCATCCAGTAGTCCGTTCAAAATATCTATTAAAATAGAGTGCATAAATTTCATAGATTACTCAAACAGGCCCCATCTTCTTTTTCTTATATCCATGAAATTATGACAATGCAGAAATTACTTATGCAGGGAATCATCTCACAATAACTTATAGTTGCATTTCTTGACATTGATCTGGTCCAACAAATTTAAGTTTCAACTAACAATTAGTCAGCAGTATATGCCAAGTCCAAAATTGGTTTAAGCATCATTCCGAGTAATATACATGGCTTGAAGCAAAAGTCCTCACTTTTAAGGCAAGCAGCCTAGTACTGAACTGCCACTGTACCAATGCAACCAATCCTATTCACACATTTTATGGTTTTCACACATCTAGGTGTTGTAAGAATATTTGAAATATTAGAAAATATGTCATCTCAAATGCTGCGATGTGAAAGAAGAAAAATTTCTAGTTAATGCATTGACTTCAGAGTCATAACATCCAATAAAATGCCAAAAATGCAAACACCTTTACAAATTCACTATCAGATTGTAGGAGAATGTCTGTGGACTTCTATCTATCCCCAAAAATCTTGATCAACCCTTATGAAGGAAGAGATCTTAAATGTTGACCGTTCATCCACCTAAATGGGTAGAAGACCATGTTAGCACAAAGTAAGCTCTATTAAGAGAGTTACGTTACAAGAAAAACCCTAAAATCTTGAGAATCTCAATTACAAGAAAAACCCTAGACGAAGTGACTATCAAAAAATGGACATGCTAATTTAATCATACTTAGCCTTCTCATTAACATTTCGACAGAAAGAATTTGCAATTTCCTAACTTTATTTTGGCAGCTTATTAGTTCATCGTCTCAGTTCATGAACTAATCATCACTAAATTCAAATAGTTCAACACGGACCTCAAGGCACTTGCATGCGACTCGAAAATGGCATCTAAGAAGTGCAAACATATTGGAGCGCACCAAAAATTCAACCTTTACGAGATTTGGAATCGAATTATCATTTCTTCTCTTTCCAGTCGCCCTTTGCAAGGTATTGAAATCGCATACGCATAACATTAAACCCGGAATGCCCATAACAAACGACCGGAGAGAGAGAGGGAGAGGGACGGAGATGTTAACCTGGCAAACAGGTAGTTGAATAGCGCCGTCCTCGCGCCTCCGACGTGCAGATTCCCGGTCAGCGACGGAGCGAAACGGACGCGCACCTCGCCCTCCTGGAGACCAGTGGCGGAGGAAGCCGAGACGGAGAGATTTCTCCGGTGAATCGAGAGGTAGCCCTGGACGGGAGAAGGGAGGATGGAGCTCGGGAAACACCCAAATCCGAAGCCATGGCAACCCCACGACTAGACTCGCCATTTCGTCGATTCTACTACCGACACTGCCTGATTCGAAAGCCTTCTATAATTCAAACGCCCTGTCGCGGCGGGCGCAGGAAAACGATATGCGACTCTTCTTTTGTAACTTTTATCACAGTCCGATGGCTTTCTGACCAATGGATCGAGATCAGACGGACATGATTGGGGATCCGAATAAATTCTTCTTCTCGCTTCTCCTTTTGTTGTTGTCTGTTAATTTATTTTTTTATAAATGAAATTAAAATGCATAAATTGCTTTCCTCACTAATCAATTAGTCACAACATCAAAATTAGGCATCATGAAATATATATATATATATATATATATATATATATATATATATATATATATATATATTGTCGATGTCAATAATATCTATTCATGCATTGGCCCATAAGTTGGACGACTTTTGTCAATAGTATTTTCACCATCGAAAATAACGATTAATGAAATAATATGATACGTTGATGGATGGTAAGGATTCATAATAACTATCCCAAAATCTTTTACAATCATATCTTTAATTCCTTAATTCATTATTCAATAAATTTCTAATAAAAGTTGGAGATTTATCAAAATAAAAAATCTAATTACTACTATACTAATCCAAACAATTTAATTAATAATTTTTGACTTCCGAATATCAATTAATTTCTTAGAACGTGCTCTATTATTCCATAAAGTTATTGTTTCCTCGGATTTTTTTATAGACCTTTTGTGATTAAAGTTTGGTCAAGAAACAAGTTGGCTCGTTGACTAAGTCTGTGTCGTTGACACAAAAGTTTCAAACCTTCCAGTGATATGAGAAAAAGAATAGAATGAATCCATAGACCCAACTTAGTTGGAGCTCTAATTCTTTGGAGCAGATGACAAACAGCTTCGTTGTCTTGAATGCACCATTACCACACACACACATCCAACACATGAAATTGTCAAGGAGGATTCAGATCGGCAAAAAAGAAGGGAAAAATATGTCAACTTGTGCTCTTATCCCTACTTGGGAATAGATCCTTCAGCGGAACCAAACAAGATAAGTCGGCAGCATTATCAACATCATCGGTACAATCTCTCTTCCTTTCTATGGAGTTATCCGTACAGCTGCGGGTGTCGTCGACATCATCGCTGCTGTACTGACTGCAAACCATCCTCGTTTGGCAGTCCAGCGTTCCTTCCCGGTACACGACGATTCCTTCCTCATCCATCTCGCAGTCCTTCATGGGGCGATAAGCTTTCTCAAACACCCGGTCATGCACTCTCGTTAGCGACATCGTCCTGCACCACCACAAGAAACTCTATTACGGTAGTTTACATGATGGGAGATCACTGGACCTCGTGGAAACTCTATTCGTACTGTATCACAGAGAATTCTCTAAAGAAGAAAGATATCATAAGCTCTCCATTTGGAGCAATGAAACTAACTACAAGGCTGGAGATGGGAAGATGATCGAGATGTTGTAAGGAGACGGGGAGTTGGACCAGTCAAATCCTTGTGTTGTGTATTTGCAAAGGTAAATGTAGAAGAAGGAACAGAAACCCAGCGCTGGCATTGGTGGCAATATTGTGAATAAAAGGAAGGGTGGTGGGCCAGGCAGTGCATGTATCACTCACCTGACGTGGAAGAGGTCGGGGACGAAGGTGGGGCCGAGGTAGAACTCGAGGGCCAGAAGGAAAGCCTTATACGCCATCAGGTGGAGGCCGTCGATCCGAGGGTACGGCAGCCGCGGCCGGGGCGGCGCCACCAGACTCCTCCTCCCTCTCCCTCTCTCTCTCCCTCGGCACGCCGCCTCCGACCGGGACGCGTACTCCCTCCACGCCAACGGCGTCTGCTGCGCCCCCTGGGGCGACGACGGAGGAGCCGCCGCCACGGGGAGCGGGACGAAGCCGGCGGAGGCCATGATGGGCTCCAGCTCGTCGTGGGTGATGATGGGCCGGAACGTCGTGGTGTGCCACAGCGCCAGCTTCTTCGCCACCATCTCCTCTATCTTGAGCGGCTTCATATATCGTATCTTCCTCCGCCGTAGAGAGGTCTCGGCAGGTGGAAGGGAGAGGGGAGAGTGGGTACGGAAATAAAGAAAATAAAGAACCAAGGGGGATAGAATAGGAAGAAACACGCGGAGAGAACGAGAGAGAGAGGGCGCCTTCTCATCACGTCACAGGAGTTGCCTTTTGAGGCCGACGACACGTTACGTTACGCAGGCGGAATGGGACATGCCGTTTTGACGATCGCCTTGCGATTTGCGTTCCCATCGTTTCATAAATGGGCCGGGCCTAATCTACTGTACCAATATTATTATTGTATGCATCTCCATCTCTCTACCAATTGACTCCATTCCCTCACTGGGCGATGAAAGAAATGTCACCTAATAGATTAGGTGACTTATGGCAGTCAATCTCACATATAAAAAAAAAAGATTGGGCAAATTTTCAAACCAAATTTACATTTTGATTTTTTTTCCTTTTTGTATTTACCTTCGGAGCAACTTTTCTTTTTTAAATAACAAAAGTACCATCGTTCATAGCTAACAAGTTGTGAAATCCAGTTGGGTTGACCGGTTCTTCGGTCAAACCAATCCAATGCTGTCCTGAATTGGCCATATTATTTTTTTTTTTACTGAATCAAAATGATGTATTTCTATTCAAAAATACTATGTATACTGTTTATGAGTGTTAGAAATACGATCGAAACTAAATTAGAACCCAACTAGTTTTGAAGGTTATCAATAATTTCAGTTAAAGGATACTTTGAATCGAATTAAACTTGTTTTAATATAAAAAATTATAAGTCCGATCGAGTTCATTATCTTACACCCTTAACTCATTCAAACTTTGATGTCGTTAATTTCATAAATATTATGTCGATTCAATTATAATTTTAAATTACTTAAATTATGAATTGACTAACCAAATCAATTAATTGTCTTTGAACTAGTTTAGTTAGGTAAGTCTGAATTAATTCCGATTGAAGCCTATCTTAGTTTAATCAAATCGAAGCCGCCTTTAGTGGTTGGGCTCCTACCAATTCGAACGCCGCACTATTATTAACACGGGTAATTTGGTTGAGGAACCAACTCGATCTAGTTGGGTTTACCATTGGAACCAACATTATCAATTAAAATAATATTGTTATTTGAAAAAATATGAGCTCTTTGTAAGTAATGTGAAAAAAGAGATTTGATAAAAAGACCTAAAAATGTGAGATTTTTTAAGAAAAATCATCCCAAAGAACATTTTTTAATGTATTCGAATAAAGAAGAAGCTAACTTGGTGAAGGGTGATCTCAGCACGCATATATTTGACCATGCTTTTGAGCATATCTTTGTTTAGTCCACTGTAAGCCATGTCTCCCACTGGAACGGCGACCAAGTGTAACCCATGGATTTGGATCGCAATCTAATCGTAGGTTTAGCCTCCAACTTTTACTGCAAGAAGCTTTGTCAACGCAAAGCAAGCATGCTTTTTCCAACCTTTTCAACACAAATCCAAGCGAGACTTCAATCCATCATTTGTCAGTCAAACAAGAAGAATTGGCAAAACCAAAATAATGAGAAGGAAGATGAGCGCCATTTGAAAGACCTTAAAAGAAATTATTTTTAAGCGAATCTCAAGTCAATACATATATATATAAATCCCTCGTCACTCCCTAGAAATACATGGCCCAATGTGTGTTTGTATGGATCTTTGTGCTGTCAACTGACAGCAACCAATGAGCAGTCAATTCTGGGAGGGAAAGGGTGGGTGGTAACCTTCACTTACTGCTTAAAACCATAGTTTAGTATGTGCACACTTTGAGGATGTCAGAACACCAGCTGTTGGTGCAGCCAAAGGCCAAGTTCTTGTGGTTGGATAGAACAGATCGTCGTCGACGCCAAGTATATTTATTATGAAGGGAAAAGGTTTGGTTCTCCCAGACGACGCCAAATCCTACTGAAGACGACGCCGGTGTTTGGCAGGCTCTAAGAATCAATGAGAAAGTACAAATATTGGACGCAGCTTCTTCTATTTGCGATCGAGATAATGGTAGTCAAAGACACATCATTTCTCTGCCGGTTCTCTCACGCATTGTTACGAACACCCGATGAATTTGGTGTATTTGGTCTTCGAGAACATCGGAGACGAACAGCTTCTTCGGATGGTGGCTGTCCGATAAGAGGTGGCGGTGGACGAGATTTGACCTTTGGCTTTTGGTATCAACCATCAAAATGTTATGGAAGTAAAAGAAGAATAACATCAACTGTAACACGATCAATTAGTCTCATAGCGAAACTGAACAAGATTAATATTAACTTATAAGAGTCTGATGAATATATTACTATCAACTTCAGCTTAAATATTTTAACAAATAATTTAAACCAAACGAAATTAATAGATCAATTAGTCCATCAGACTCGAGTCATGACAATTACACCCATGTGGATATGGATTATCAGAAGCAAAAAAGATAATTCTAGTGTGAGAATGTATATAGATGAGCTTTTTTTCTTTAGCTTGTACCTTAAATTCTTTGTTAACCAAGTTCCCTTAGTTAACTAAACCCAAGCCAAATCTCCTTCCACACTCTCTCAAATAAACCATGAATATTATTTTCATCTTTTAACTCACCTTCTAAAAAAAACCCTATAAGCATAGAAGTATTTTTTTTTCTTTATAACTCTTACCTTTTTATTATATTATTTTTATTCTTGAATTTCTTAAAATATCCCCTTTTCGACTATGGGAACTATTCTTTATATATATATATATATATATATGATCTTAGTGCATGCTTATATTTATGCAAATCTAAAAAACTACTTAGATGATAAATAGAAAAGAATAATGATGTATGTATCAGAAAAGAAGCATGAGCTGGACATTAATATGAACCAGAATATACTACAATGACTACAAATTTGTTCTTTTTTCTGAGGTACCCTAATTAGATCAAGGTTCACTATGCCCCTCATCACCTTCCTCTTCTTCACCTCTAAGTGAACTCATTAGTGGGTCGGTGATGGTGTCCTCAAACGAGTCATCTTGATGGTGGACCACCCGAGGAAGTTGCAAAGATGGTTGCTCCGAAGCCATAGAATTCCCTACCCCCATAAAGTCGATGACAGGAGGAAGCTGACCGGCCTTTCGATATGGCTCCCAAAAGGCGTGGTTAGGGGTGAGCGGTATCATGTCGATGCCATGGTCGCCATGATGATCTCGGGGAGTCTGCTTGCTCGAGTCATGGCTCCTCTGCTCTCTCGCAATGAGTGCTTCATGTTGTAACCGCAACAACTCCATGTTTTGGCGGTGGATGGTAGTGTGAACTCTTAGAGACTCGGGCGTTGCAAAAGTCCTCCTGCAGAGTGTGCAGGTGTTTGGCATAAACGTGGGTTCTTGGCGAAAGCCTCGCGTCGTACCATTGGAACAACCAACGGACGAGCCTCCACCTCCATTCATGGCGAAAGAAAGAGATCAATGTTGAGGGTAGGATACATAAAAAGGATTATATAGAGCAGCTTGGAACAAAGTTCTCTTCTCGATTTGGCAATGCTGCTACTACTACACTGTATTCCTAGCAGGTTATATAATTTCCATATACTGATCTAAAACATAAATGGTGCATTAAATAATAAATTTAAATTTAATTTCTCTTGTATGTAAAGAAATATATAACAATCAAGTGTTGCATTGGATAAGGATTTCATGACATTGAATATGACCTTTCATGAACTTATGATTAGGTGTTTGACATTGAATATGCCCTTTCACGAGGCATCTATTGGTTTCTATAAATAATGGGGATTCATGGTATATAGTGTGTGGGGGGAGAAATTGTATTGAGTGAGAACTTCCTCTTTGCCAAAAAATAAAAATAAAATAAAATAAATTATAGATCTTTGTTTATCTCCTACAACAAAAGTCGCACTGATAGGGCACATTCTAACACCACCCCCGCGGTAACATTCGATAGCCATGTCAGTGCCAACGTGGAGCCTCAGGGTTGACACGGTGTTTTATGTCGACACGATACCTCGAACTTGGACGAGACGATCGTCTGCTCCCACGCTGTCCGAGGTCGTACAAGACGATGCCACATAATATAGAGTTGCTCTCTCCACCGAGGCATTCCTCAACCTCGCCCACCAAGTCCAAGCGTTGGCGGGGATATTGCAGACTATCATCCCCCTCGTTCCCTAGCTTTCCCAATAGGCGACATTGCCCTAACCATTATCGCCACGGGACTAATCGATCCCTGTCACCGTGCCATAAGAGCCTTCTCCGGTTGGCCAGCAACCAAGAGTTGTGGATGCCAATCCATCGACCGAAGAGTAGTCAGGAGGCTTAAGGTTGATGCCAGAGCATAGCGCCCTTGGTCACCGACGCATTATCCTGAGCAGCCTCGAGCCTGATATCTTATCATTTGACTTGGTGGATTCTCTCCGGGCTCAATAGGTCCAAAGAGAGTTTGAGCCTGATACGCTCGGTCAATCGATGCTTGGACTAGGTCCAAAGAGAGTTCCACAAATCAAAGAAGGAGCTCAGGGAGGCCTCCATGGTAGGGTCTCCCTTAGTGCAGGAGATCCAAGACAAATAAATACCCCTCAACTTCCATCTCCTCACGCTCGAGGCTTATGATGACAAGTCTAACCCGACAAAGCATGTCATTGCCTTCTGAGCTCAGATGGCTCTATATTGCACCTTCGATGCCCTAATGTGTTGGGCATTCCCCACTACTCTTCAAGGCCCAGCTCGGATGTGGTACAGCTGGCCTCAGTTTCATCTTTTGACCAACTCGCAAAGGAGTTCGAGCTTAATTTCCTGGCCAACGCATAACCCAAACCGTCCGTAGCCATGCTTCTCAGTCTAAGTCAGAAGGATGACAAACCCCTCTCTCACTTCGTCGCTCGCTTCGTTGTCGAGATTTGAGGAGTACTCGATGCCCATCCTTCACTAATCATGTAGGCATTCCTGATGGGTCTATGACCATCTAGGTTCTTCTGATCGTTGGTTGAAAGACCAGTGACGATTGTTCCCGAGATGCTCCAATGCACAAATCAATATGTTGCTATCGAGGCACTAGTGGCGGGAAAGCACGAAGACCACAAAAGGCCTCACATGGAGCAGTCTCGAGGGCAG